CTCTCGTTCTCTCCATCTCTCTCACTTCTCTGTCTCTCGCTCACTGTTTCTCAGCAGCACATGGAAAGGTCTTGGGTTGTAGGAGGGATGACTGACAACAAAAGTCCATCCTCAGCAGTGTGTGTTGGGTTGGCTTGCGTGACTAAGCCTGAGTCATCTTTTTCTTTTCTTCTCAACAAAGTCCTGACATAAAAACCCCACACGAAACAAGCTTTTTAAAATGTTACCAGCACATAGGTAGTGGGAGGTGGTGTGTGGTGTGTGTGTGTGTGTGTGTGTGTGTGTGTGTGTGTGTGTGTGAAAGCCAATAAAGAACAACTTGTCCGGTTTCAAGTGTTTGAACAGTCTTTCTGCTAATTTACAGCGTCACCACTGAATGTCACTGTTTCTTCACCTTCATCACCTCTCATCAGAACTTTATTTTTGTGCCAAAAAAGCCTCCATTAAACGACCCAGATGAGCACCGCGATCATGACATGAGGGACCTTTCCCCTCCTCCCATCTCTTCCTGTCAGCTGACTCCACCTCCCTCCACCACTGCTCCCTTTTACCTCCATACCCCCACCCCCCGACCCATATTGCCCTGTAGTCTAATGGCATCAAGGTCATCTGATCTGACACACTCTGTGACTCCCCCCTCTTCTTCTGTCTTTTTGCTCTCTCTTTATCTTTCACTTTCTTTCTCCCTTCCTGCCCAACGCACACACACACGCCTGTTTCTCACCACACACAGAGGCAAAGACAAGACGCTAAAGGTTCCTGCAAATGCACACACTGGCAACAAATGCAGAGGCTTTCTTTAATGATTTTTTTCTCCACACGCACACACACACACACACACACACACACACACGCTTGTATGCATACAGTATTGGATTGTTCACTGAGGGTCACCGGGTTTATTGGTGGGCAGGACAAGAGGCTGCAGAGCCGCACTGAGCACATGTTTAACAGAGTAGAGGCAACACAAAGTGTTTCAGCCTGGTTAAACAAACAGCTTTACTGCAATGATTGCTTTATTATGTTCATGAGCAAACCTGGCACAACATGTGCTTTGTTTTGGATATTATCTCATGAAAAGGATATAGATAGTAAAATGATTGACAGTGCCTTTTTGTACCATACAACCATAATGCATTTGTATCTTTGTTTGGACTGTTTCCATCTGTCTGTCTAAAACGAGTATGTTCATATTTGAGACATGCACCTTGTTTCATCCTTGCATCTGTCTGTTTGTTTGAAACCTGTTCCTTTGTCTTTGCAGTCATTGCCACACACACACACACACACACACGCACACACACGCTCCAAGGCAGGATGGTGTTAAGTTCAGGTTCAGGGTGTGTTTGGGTGTCGATCGTAGTACTAACTGTAAGGTATACAATCTGAGTCATACCTCCTGACTTTCGGCACGTGCAAGTCGGCACGAAGAGCCCAGCTGGGGAAGGCCTACCCCTCCTCACTGCTACTCACAAAGAGAAAGGGAGGAGTGGCTTGGGAGAGAGAGGAGAAAAATGGAAAGGTGGTGTGGGTGATGGGGTGGGGGTCTGTTGGGCAGGGTGGAGCTGCTTTAACATAATGAGGAAGGAGGAGGAGGAGGAAGAAGAGTAGGCGGGTGCTGTTTTTAAAAGGCAGCTCTTTGTGCTTGACGTTCGGGACATGAAAAGAAGGAGAGGAATGTAAATCAATATACAGAATATGTTGGGTCTGAGACAAAGAGAGTGGACGTGACAGGCAGAAGGGAGATGGATAGGAAAATCATAAAAGAGCACTGTGTACTACTACCTGCCGGGTGTGCCAAGTCATGAAAAAGAGCTGAGCAGTCAAATCTGATTGGACAATGACATAATCATTAACAGAGTCACAGTTGTTTCAAATACTAGACCTGTTTTGTTTTCAGGTGAAACACATCACAGCCTTAATGATTACGTGATGAGTTTTTTTGGAGACGGTATTTAGGGTTTAATCATAAACTGCTCATACTTGCGAGGAGAAAAACAGTAAAGCCAGAGAACCCTTCCTCAGCTCTGCACAGTGGCTGGTTGCCAGCCTTGTCTCTCTCAGGACCTGGGCTAAGATTAGCTTCCCATATGTTCAAGTCAGGCGTAGCCCGGCTTAAAGGGACAGTACTCACTAGTACACTATGAAGCTCCTGTGTTGCTTCACATACACTAAATCATCCAGATTCACACTCAAGGTCAAAATATATTTTTTATGTATCAATTGAAGGTTCGTTGAAGATGATGGCTGGATGATGTTTTGTCCTTTTTCAGAACTGAGTCCTTGGCGTGGATTTCTGAGCTACTACTAGTTTTCAGCCTGGTCTTACACCATAATCAGGCCGATCCTTTTTTTGGAGAGCCACCACTGCATTCACATGAATGTACTACTGTTGTTTCAGAAATCAATATTTTCATGTGCCTGTTTCAATTGTGTGTGATGTAAAACTCCAACAGCTGTGGCACTGTGTTGCATAAAACCTGGCAGCGTGGGGCGGCAGTGGGATTCAGGATTGTATAAACTGCGCGCCCGGTGGGAGCAGCACAGCAGCCACCAGAGAGGTGAGAGTTAAAGAGCCCGAGCAACAGCTGACGGCTCCTCCCCCTTCTCTTTCCATTCATTTTTTATTAACTGCGGCACCGGGCGGCTGACAACCTCCCTCCGACATCAACCACAGATCCCACCAACGATGCCAGCGAGCCGACTACCGCAACTCGCCGTGCCGTGCAGGGTATCGAACCGGCGCAGGACTCCAAAGTCCAGCCATGTTCACTGGCACATGCAGGATTATAAGCAGTGTGGAGGGAGAAATGAACATCTGCTAACTGTAATTAATTAGAGATGAAACATGACAACAGTGCAGAGCTTCTCAAGTCCCTATACATTAATGATTGTTGGTGACTATATACATTCAAATGTCACGTGAAATCCCATGAGGATTTCCAGCATGATGTTTCAAGTCTTTGTATCTTTGATAAAATGCTTCTCTTAGAACCATTAAAGGAAGCCTTTAAGTTACAACCACTCGCACCTCTACACTGTGAATACACGACTGTTCAGAGCCTTGTAGCAGCCGACACTTCCTGGGTTTACATGCAGGGCTGCAGCCGAGGTTAAAATGGGTAAATGAAGTCAGTCACCTTTTTAACTGCAGACAACGCTTCACCTGGAACCTTTTTCATAAGATCAGCACTACCGAGGACAATTCTTTAAAGCTACAGTAGAGTAAGTAAGTTAAGGACACAGAATAAATGAACGCTTTTCAGGACATTTAATACTTTTGGCAGCAAGATTGTTCACACGAGACAATGACATATACCATCCATGACCAAGAAATAAATAAGGCTTTCTTCTTCTTCTTCTTCTTGTTACTGTGTTGACCTCTTGTTCAGCTCTGTTAGAGCTCTCAGAATACTTTTTTTAGACAGTATTACAGGGGAAAACAATGTGTCAATTCATGATTGGAAAAACATGAGTTGAAGTCAAGACCAAGACAAACACGACTTCAAGATCAAAAGGAAGATCTGTGCTAAACGGGCTGGAGCGTCAACGTGAGAACCAAAACCCCGACTACTGGTACAATCATCGTGTCACGCTCACATTTACATTAACCATCAGATCGCAAGCCGTGTGTCAAAGCACGAGGGAAACAGAGCTGCTCTTCTTTACTGACTGAGTGGAAACCTTACAGAGCAGTAAATACATCGAAAGCCAACGCTGAATGGAAGAGGTGATGTCAAACCCTCCACTTCCTGTACTACACAAATACACACATATGCACACATGTGCGGTGCCGGCTAGTTGGTCACGTGACCAAACCTTGGATGCCGGACTTGAGCTAAAATTAAAGCAATGATGACATCAGACATTCAGTGTTGCCACGGAAACTAGGTCAGCGTTAACCCTTTGCGAACGAGGCCGGGGATTCCACGCGAGCCCAAACACATCATTAACACACGTTCCATCTGCCGTCACGTACTCGGCGGTTTGAGTGTTTCTGCTCTTTCCCGTCAGCATGTGAAGTTCATTTCACGTATACGGAGGAAATCCTGTGTATGGGCGTGGACAACAAATCACGCGAGTGCAGTCTGTCTTTCTTTGTACCCTGTTGTGGTAAACTCCTGATTCAGCTCCGTTTCCTGAACAGCAAAGAAAACCACCAAACAAACGCTGTATGCTGTAAAACTGAAATTAAACACTGAACAGCTCGACTCGATTGCCACACGATGTCTTTATGTTCCAGCTGCTGTGTGGGTCCTGAAAAGGCGTAATTATACTGTACAACTCCTTATTGAAATTGACAAACACAGTGCCCTCAGTTTGTTGGGTGTAGACTGTTTGCCTTTGTGTAACCAGGGAAATGTTTGACAAGGAAACAGATATATGACTCCACCAAGGACACACACAGTAACTACAAACAGGAGCTCAGGAGAGAGAACACAAACTTGTTAAACACAACTCTCCTCACAAACGGACAGTTCAGTGATTTTTCCCCCCTACCATCCAGATGGTCGTTTATACCATATAGGGTTTGGGGATTACAGCAGGCTTAGAGGTTAAGCTAGAACATGTCAGTAGAACTGAACTAAACCCATTCATGCCTTTTTAAACTGCCTGACTAACCTGTATTTCATGTCACGGCAGCGACGGAGGTGAAGGCATTTGCTGGCATATGTTCTCGACTCATTTCTTGTTACTTCCACATGTCTAGGTTTACAACACCGAAATGTTTCACTGTGCATCTGATGTCAGGGGATATCACACGAAACTCATAACTCAGACAACAGCTTGTTTGGTGCTCAATAAATCCTCATCCTCCTTGTGAAGCCTCGCCGCTCAAACTTCCTTTCCACATAAACACACAAGCGTGCCCCGGCTCGGCTAAGCTGTAGAACAGCAGCTCTTAGCGGCCACACGCCACAGGTTACTACGCCCGACAATCACGTACGCATGCGTGACCCACTAACTTTTACTCCCTTTACCTCATTTGACTCCAGAACCTAGGAGAAGAAGGACGGCCCCCCCCTCGGCTCCTGAGCCAGCGCATCGGGTTCCTCTCCTCCTCCTCCTCCCTCCTCCCCTCCCTGGTCTCTTGTATCTACACATGCCTGGCTCTGGCACCAATCAGCGGGCAGCGTGGGACGCTTTAAACTGAGAACGCCGCAACTTCATCACTGAGGCGCCAGCTCACCGGCACTTGGAGATAAAGCCGAAGTAGCTGCTTTAATACAGTCAGCTTCAGAGCGGGGCGACTCGGATGGGAAGACAGCTGCCTTAGACGGTGTCTAAGGCATCTTTATTCCACCTGGCGATGATATCAGGGCTAATATAATGAGCTCGTGTTCGCCGAAGAGAGCAGCAAATAGTAAAATGAAATCCTAGCGACACAGCGGTCACAATCACAGCTTTTCTGCGTAACAGGTATCAGTGGTTAATCCCATTCACACAAATACTTACACATATACTGTACATTCATAAAAAAAATCACCAGAGCGGAGTCACATTTGTAAATATGCGCGTGTGAACAGACATACATAGAAAGAGAAGAGAGGAAGTGGTCGCTACGTTGACTGACAACCATAGTTCTCCTCGTAATAGCCTCGCTGCACTGATGAACCAACAGCTGAGAACCAAGGCAACATGGACAGAGATCACACACACAGATAACACACAACAGTCACAGAAACACAAACCCACTGCCCTCTCTTACCTCAGCTGCCAGTTCAGGGTTCCCCGAGCAGCCTCGACTGTTGTCTTCAAAATAGTCCACCTTTACAGCCATTCAACAGAACGAGAGAGGGGGGAGCGAGAAGGAGACGGAGAGAGATGGGAGGGGGGAGAGAATAACAATCAATAGAATAATGCGACAAGGGCCTGTGTTCAAAAAGACTTCTCATTAAGGACAGCGCCAGGTACATGATGCACGCCTTTTCGCACACACAGTCTCCACCGTCACTCCTGTCATCCTCAGCAATCATCAGAAAGCGGCCGTGCACACAAATCTCCTTTCTTTGATTTGTGCTCAAACAGTGAGCCGGCACTTCCCTCTGCTGCTGGGACAGAGAACGAGAGACGGCAAAGCGAGATTCACTTTCAATTATAGAATTATGTAATGTCTGTATCCCGAACCCCTGGCGCAGCCTTCCTAATATATGCATCACACCGGTCTGCATAACCCAGTTTTTTAAAGGGTAAATTGGCAAAAACGTGCACAAGTGTCAGTGGACGGCTGAGAGTCAGATGGAATAGATGTTAATGGTTCATCAAGCAGGGCTGATTACTGTCAAACAATAGCATCTTTTTATTTGGCACAGCATGCCCCCCTTGTCTACATGGTCCTGGTTGTCTCAATGTTAAATGATGTGTTTTGTCTCGAGCTGTTCCCCAGTCCCGCCAACCTCACCCCCCCACCACCACCCCCTCTCCACCCACCCACCCACCTATCAATCCTAAAATAGTCTGGAGTGATGAATATTTACCCTGCAAGCCTCTGAGCTGCCTTGGTTTGTACTCCTCCGTCCGCTGGCCAAATCCCCATCAGAAGAGCTCCCTCTCGTCTTCACCTCTATCCCTTTCTTATCTCTTGCTCTCTCTCTCTCTCTCTACCTCTCCACTCTTCTTTCTCGGTCTCTCTCTCTCTCTCGTCTGTGTTCCAGCAGCCCATTCAGGAAGCCATCTTGTGTTTTTAATCTGGTTTTACATGAGCCCTCGTACGCACGTTCTCTCTCTCTCTCTCTCTCTCTCTCTCGCTTGCTCTCCTGCTCTACCCCCCTCCCTCTCTCTCTCTCTCTCTCTCTCTCTCTCGCTCGCTCTCCTGCTCTACCCCCCTCCCTCTCTCTCTCTCTCTGCTAGTATGGCAATAGGTCTACCGCACACTCACACAAGGTTTTTTTTTTCCTCTGTGATCGCTATCACTCCTTCCTCACACTCAATTTTTTTTTCTCTTCTCCTTCTGCATACATGATGTGAATGCCCTCTCAACCAACCCCCCCCCCCCCCCTCTCTCTCCAAACACATAGACTCATGAACAAATACACACACACACACACACACACACACACACACACACACACACACACAGCTCGCCGGAGAGACGTCACGCTACAGATAGCACACAAAGGCAGTCCGTCCACCAATCAGAGGCCAGGCTGGGCTCTGCTGCTAGGGTGAAATCGAAGGAGAGCAAGTGAGGGCGTAGAGAGAGAGAGAGAGAGAGAGAGAGAGAGAGAAATTGGAGCTAGTAAAAAGAGGTTAAAATAAAAAGGGAAAGGGTCTGTGAGTGTGTATTTGCCTGTGTGTGCAGCACCATAAAAGAAGGGCTGACATAAAGAAACAGAAAGAAGGTGGACGGGATGTGTGCATGTGTGTGTGCATGTGTGTGTGCATGTGTGTGTGTCGGTGGTGGGTGGGTGGGTGGATGAGTGAGGGGGGGTGGGTCCTCTCTATGCTTGTCAATTATCTCCTCGAACTCGCCTTCCCTAAACAATGCCTCTGGTATGTGGTATCTCTGAGCACCATCTGTGCAGGGCTGCCTGCAATAACTGGACTGGACTCACCACACGCACACGCACACACACACACACACAGTCACACACACATACACACACAGATCCTCTTAAACTGCCACCCTCTACCCCCCACCTGACAGCAAAGCACACAATTACACAGCAAAGCCCGACATGCTGACTCAAAGCAAGTGAAACGAGCACAGAGAGTTTATAAGAGTAGTACACACTAAAGCTACGGACGCGCCATAAGCAAAGTTGTCACATCAAATCATCAGCTGTGACCACGTATACAAATCAGTGATCTGCAACGTGCGTACGTGCAAACACTACCAAAGCTGCCGGGGGTTTGCGTTTCCTTCACGCGCAGTCTGTGACATACCGAGCATATTTTGGAAGCCTGCGTTCATAATGTTTACATTCAGAGTGCGAAAGATCATTTCCAGCCTTTGCAAACCAGAGGGTTAGTGCACGTTCTTGCCAGACTGCTGGACATAACAACAAATCAGCAGCCGGGCAGCCTAGATGCATTTTTCTCTCTTATTTTTTAAACAAAGCCTTCTTGCAAAACTGTCACCGATCAGCCTTTTGTGAAAAGGGAAGTTCAACAAACACAAATAGTGTGGCAAAGCGGTCTGCTCAGATATGAAAAACAGCAAAAGACGTGCAAGAGTGAAAAGGGGCTAATGAATATGTAACCGCCGGGAGGACGAGACAAAAGTCAGCGAAAGTTCAGGCAGGCTGGCGAAGACGCAAGGCGAGACGGGCGGACAGCGAGAGGCAGGCACGAGACACAGAGGGAGAATCGAAAAGAGAGAGGCAGCTGAAGTGTGGCGTGGTGAGGCGAGGCAGCCACACAGTGACACAGCATTTGTGGTGTCTGTCTGGCGCTCTCATATGGCATGGGAAATCCACTCTGCTGACGTCAGACGGGCCACGTGTGTGTGTCTGAATGCAAGTGTGTGAGTGTGTGTTTATGTGTGAGCAGAGGCGTGTTTGCAGAAAGCCGGACGGCGAGAGTGGCTGCAGTGGCTTTAGTGCGTTTCGGGTAGTTGTAGTACTCGAAGCGGTAGTCGTACTAACAGTAAGCGTTTCAGGGAAGGCAGCAGCATTAGCAAGAGTAACTTTGGTTATGACCGATGTATGACGAGCTGGTGGGAGAAATAATAATACGAGTTTAAGTAAATCATCTAACACTAATTGTTGGAATGGGGTAAAAGTACAACAAATAAAAAGGTATAGAGAAAGCAAAAAGGGAGTAAAACATCCTCTGCTACGTATTTATCTTACGCCAGGCACCACCTGTCAGTGGAGGCTCGTCAGAAACACGTACAGTGTCTTTGTGAAAGAAACTACTGCAGCATCAAGGGGAAGAAACCTCATCTAGAACATTCAGACTTTCGCAGCCTTCAACAAACTCCTGCCGATCACTGACGGAGCGTGATCGCACTCAGACGCAGATCCTACCCGCTCCTGCACAGCTTTATGATCCTGATGTACACACATGCCTTCAGCCACAAACGTCCTGTCTGTTGCTTTCATCTACTCACATTAAAAAAAAAAAAAGTCTCCGCAAACCTGCATCAAACGCTTCCACCTGCTCACCTTCACCTTCCTTTTCAAGTACACAGACACATTCACCACACACACAGACACAGACACAGGAGGGAGGCTCACTGCAGCCTTTTCTGATGGAAAGGAGAGGATGCTGGAGTTGTCTGCCTGCAATCAGACTAACTAGCTTAAATACTGGTATTAATTAAGCCAATCTGTCTTACTCTTTTTACTGACTTTACCATTGCGGTCACCTGTCTAAAGGGCTGCAACTGCAAAGAAAACTCTGAAGCCACACTAAGCACATAACTGTGAGGTTGTGTGAATGTACAGGCTCACGAGTGAAGCACATATTTCATGGCCATATTTGGTCTGTTGCACCAACGGTACATTAAACATATTACAGAGGTTAAAGCTGCTGCTCATATTCTCATTGAGCTTCAGAGCAGTTGTGCCAGGAGAAGATGGAGGACAGAGTTGCCAGGCAATAAGGAACTCAGCTGCTACATTCATACGGAGGTCAGCGCCCAGAGACGGAGGGATTGTGTGGGGGAGGGGTACTGATGGATGAATGGACACTTGGTTAAGATTTGTTTGCTGGGAAAACGCTTCGCCAAACTGCACGTCTCCTGATGCTGCAGCTCGCAGCACTCACCTCTGTCAGCGGAGACAGAGGATCAATAAAGATCTCTGATGGTAAATAGTGGTATTTTGGAATGAAGCTGTTAATCATTCTGTAACAATCCTGAACATCTGATTAAATATCAGTATCGACAGAGGCAGGGTGAGGCCACAAGGAGACTTGGCCTACCACTAGAGACTGTTGGGAACTATGATAAATAAGAAATATCTCACAATCTAGTAAAACAAACTGACTGAAAATCCCTTTTTGCCCATGTTACATTTGCACATTACTTATCTGACATACACAGAGCAGCCTGTAATGAGTGCAACAGATGAGTTTGCTCAAATATTATAAGCCTGCAACTGTGCAGTTAAATAAGGCTAAGATATGCTCCAATATTAAGACTCTAAAGCCACAGGTAGCAGCTCAGTGAGGCTGTGCTTTGAGCTGAATGCCAGTGTTCAGCTCAAACTTGAAAGGTCAGGGAATCAACATCTACACAAATCATCAGTTCAGTAGGATGTAGAGCTCCCTCAGAGGTCAGGCGTTTAGAAGTACGGAGGCTGTAAACTTATATTAACCCTCAGCACGCCTTGGGCCACCAAATAGTGACAATAGCCCACGTTTTTGTCCCATAAACCACTAAAACAATTTGTTTTTGTTGATTTAATACTGAATTCCTGTAAACTGCTTTTCAGGAGACCATTATGTGCTGCTGCTGCTGCCACTTTAGAAACCTCTTACCAGACAGAACAGTAGATAGAAGGCGAGTAAAATGGGCGATAAAGGTTTGGTTCAGTAGGATGTAGAGCTCCCTCAGAGGTCAGGCGTTTTGAAACCTTCTATTAACCCACAACAACAATAAGAGCTTGTGAAGACAACAATGGTTACAGTTAGGAAAGCTCTTGTCTCCCTCTCAGCTGCTGAAGTCACATGACCAAGACATGATCCTAAAATGTCACACTGTGATGTCCACTGTTTGCATTTGTGTGAATGACTATGTTTTATGCTCCTCCTTCTTCTTCTTTTTGTTATTACTATGTTTGTGAGTGTGACAAGCTCTTCCATTGCACAGTAGTCTAGTAAGAGGTATGTTATGTCCTTTATGTCTCTCTTTTATTTCTTGGGCCACCAAATAGTGACAATAGCCCACAGTTTTGTCCCATAAACCACCAAAACAATTTGTTTTTGTTGATTTAATACTGAATTCCTGTAAACTATTCTCTCTTTGCAGGAGGCCCCATGTGTTGCTGCTGCCACTTTAGAAACCTCTTACCATATATAACTTGCATTTTCTTATGACAGATCTGCATTGTTGCTTTGGAAATGGTTACAAATGATATGACATAAAGTTTAATTAAATAATATTGCCTTTCAAAAACTATGGTACAAACCTATTAATATCATCTACCAGCTCCTTCTCCTGCGTCCACTCCTGGGTCACGCTTTCAAAGCACAGTCTGATTTTTCCAGCTGACCATTTACTCCGTCCTCCTACTTGACTTTACCGCCCTTCCCCCCCGTCTAAGACGCTGATGCATGTACAAACACACAGAGCCACACACACACACACACACACACACACACACACACACACACACACACACACACACACACACACACACACACACACTCCAACGTGCGCTTCCATTAACACACAAGTGCACACTTTAAAAGAAAACATGCACTCTTTCTCTTTCTTCGCACACCCACACACCCACACACACACACAAATACAAACTGGCCTAAGGTTAACCCCCCACACTCATTTTAAGCCTCAGAGGTCAAAGGACAAAGCCCAGGCAACTGCAGGAATTCTCCACTTCTTCTGTTTGGTAGCCCTCACGGTCTCTCAGCCATGCAAACACACACACTGTCCACTCACAGGCTGTTACAACAGACTTTTCACTGGTTTATCTTTAGAAGAACAGTTAAGCAGAATGTGAAACATCTGCATAAGAACATCTTCTTATCCTCAGCACACACGCGTACACTCAAGAGCTGCAGCTCTGTGTATTTTATAAAAGAAACTAAGGCTTATTAATAGGGACAGTTCTTTTCTTAATTGATGAATCTACTGGCTATTTTCTATTCACTTAGAAATAGCATATACTTACGCATATCACAATTTCCCAGAGCTCAAGCTGACGTCTGCAAATGTTTTGTCCAACAAACAGTCCTAAACCCAAAAAGGGTCTCAGAAAATCACCACGTTGGAGAAGCTAGAACTAATGTCAAACAGTTGGACATAAACTTTCTGACAAGAGGCAAATAGAGAAATCGATTCAGCTCTAAAAGAAACGCCATTCAATTGATTAGTACACAAGTGTTTCTAGTTAGTGTCAGGCAATCCCATCAACACATATAAACACTTCCACAACGCTTCAAACCACTAACTGTCACCGTCTCTTGCAGGTTTCTGTTAACAGCAGACATAACTGAGTGCTTTTAACCATGCTTTATAGTTAGATAATATCCTATTTGTTTTAGTAGAGTGTAATCAGTAATCGTTTAATCATGTTTGTAAAGCACACAGCGTTGCATCATTGTATGAAGTGTGCTCTATCAGTACAGTATATTTGAGTTGGCAGGACAATCACCTCCATCAGTTCCTGCTCTGTTAAACAGTAGTTAATGTTCACAAGCAGAGGCAGAGGAGTCGCCACGAGGAGAGTAAAACATTAAACGGCGGAGTTGTTTTAGATTTATGTCTTAGTGCCACATCTGTTCGCATCTTAGTGTGTGTCATTTGCAATTTGGGTAAGTGCTATATAACATACTCTACATGCAATTTGAATTTATGACATGTGCAACTTGCTAGCCCTCTACCCTCAGCCTGAGGAGAAGCATGTCTAGGCCTGACAGATAAGGAATGCAGTAGCACCAGCAGCTTCAAAAGCTTCATGCTATTTGTCTGAATGGACATCTCAAACAACGTGTTTGTCGTGTCTGTAGCAGTCTGTAAGGAAAGTACTGCAGCAAGCGGGTGGAGGCATACTGCTCCCTTCTAGCCTTCCGCTCAACTACCTTTGAGCGCGGCACTACAGCGCCATACCCGCAACTGAAAGCAGAATACGCTTCTACCGAGAAAACCCCCAGTGTGAGTGTGTTGTGGAGTTCAGAAAACTGAACTTCAATAAACTTCCCACATTGCTCTCTACATTATGCTCAGTGATGATCAGACAGACATAAGAACAAACTAACTTTCTGCTCTCTGAATGCTCCTATGAGACAGTAATAAGCAGGTACTGAGAATGGTTGTATAGATAAATGCATGCTTTTGTTTAAAGAGAGGTGCTGAGCAAACAGCCCTGAATACTGATATTTTTTAACCTTTTTTTTGTGCCTAATATTTGATCATTTCCCTTCAAAGACAATATGGGCTTTGTGATCCCAATACTTTTTTGTATCTTTATACCCGGGTCCTCTTTTCACATATGTTGGTGTCAAAATGACTAGTAGGTACAAAAGATTTTGGTATCTGTAGATGTTTCAGCGGGCAGCTGTGAACCGGCAGCAGCGGCTGCAATGTATTCCTTCTGACGTCTTTTTGCCAGCGACAGGCTCAGACTGTTACATCAGGTTTCGGACAACATCGTGGAAAGGATCCCTACGAGTTAAACCCGGTGACACCCTTTGTTTTTAACAGGAAACAGAAGTCTCGCTCAAGGACAATTCTCGGAGAGAAGAGTTTGTTTTGTAGGAGTAACGTTAGGAAATAAAGTCTTGCTAGCAGTTCCACAACAAGCTCCGCTCCCTTGCTTCCACCGGCGTTTCCTGCAACAACTTGCCCCTCACGAGATTTCAGAGCGAGAATTGTCCTGTCTGCTAATCATTCTGACCCCAAAATATGTGAAAATAAAACCCAGGTTTAAAAATACCGGAATGATAAAATTGGTACTAACACAGTATAACAATAACAATAACAAGTAATACTATCAGACAACAAACATATCTGTACCTCGCTCACATCCCACTCGTTCCGTCTCTTCTTCAGTTGTTCACATTTGCGCAGCCTGCAGATCTGCTTGCCCGTCTTGCGGTTCATACAGTTTGCGCAGGTACCACAGTTCTCTTTGCGGAGGCAGGGAGTGCAGGCACCACATTTCTTCCTCCGTTTTTTCTGGAGGTCAACGGCAGCGTCCAGGGAGGCATCGAAGGGAGACAGAGAGAACAGCCCTGCTTGCTGGTGTTCAGTCTCAATATATTTGCTCAGAGGAGATGTCTTCTCTAAGGACTTCCTGTGCAAGTAGACAGACTGAGCTTCTGCCGCGTCCATAGAGAATTCATAAACGTCCTCAGGTGGCGGGCCAGGCCCCGCCCTTGGCCTGGGCATGGTGACTGTCCTGCCTTATGACTATTCTGTCTCTTAATTGGGGGGATTGAAAAACACAGTTGAACACAAAAAAGCAGTTTAAAATCAACACCAGATACCATCCAAGTGTGCCATCAGTAAGTTTGTCCGGTCTCAGCAACAGTTTGGCTGGCGTATAACTTGTCTTGGATCAGTCTTTGCTGTTGACTTTGTCTATCTAGTTGGAGTCCCCTCAACTTGAGTGAGCTGTTGCGAAAAAAGTTAGCGTAACGTTCACCTCGTCTTCTAGTCTGAACCCTCCAGGGACAACTTCCTCATTATATCGTGTTCTTGGTCACCCGGGTGGCCCTGGAGAATCAGGATGGTAACTTCCAGTATGGGGTCCATCTTTCCCGGCTAGCCTGAGGGATGGCTGGCGGTCCACCACAGTCTGGGCAGTGTAGCTGGAGCGTGGGGAGTCATGGCAGTGTCTGACCAGCCTGGGTACAGTCTGGGAGTGTGCAGAGAGAGCAAAGACAAAGAGGGATAAGACAGAACAGTTTAAGATAACGCAAGAATGTGAAAAAAAGAAACAAATATTCATACAAATCTCTTTTGTAGCCTTGTAGTGGGGACTGAGTGTTAATGTCTTAAGGTAGATGTCTACAGTAAATCTCTCCAACTGTTCTTGTAGCAGACAAAATTCAATCAATCTCATTTCAGCTGGACCAGGATATACTGTCAAATCAACTTCAGTGAACTCTGACATGCGATTTTGCATGACTAACTGCAAAACAAAGAGAATCTGAGAGTCCCAAAAGGGAGGAAGCTATAATATTAGCCATGCACCACCAAGGCATGTGTCTAATCCACTGCGCTATCACCACCCTTTCCTCTTCATTTCCATTTTTTTCCACAAACAAAACTGGCCACAACCCAAAATAACCACGGAAAGCCGTCACAGACATTCAGCTTCCTGCGCCGCTAATCTTGTGAGGACATGCAAAAACTTCCTGGTGTCACATCTGTGAAGATTCTCAGTCATCTGGGTCATAAGAGATCCAAGGTGGGTTCAAACCAAGGGCAACTGGACTTATTGAAGATACACTGAAAGCGCTCGTCTTCGAGTTTCTTCAACCAGGTCCAGCCGCCCTTGGTTTTACCCCTCCTTGGATTCCTAGTGTGACTGGACACGAAGGCATTTGTGTGTGTCTGTGGAAAACTAAATAAATGTGTATTTAATGGTGATTTCTGATTATGTGCAAATTTATATTATACTCGTCAAATAAATATGTCTGGTTGTGGGGTTGGTACGATATGCGTATCCTACCGCACCGCAGGCCTCAGGGTAAGTGGCCATTGTTCTAAAACTGTGTGACTAAGAAAGTTTGATAAGATAGGGAGCAACTATGGTCCAGAACGCAGTCATAGGTTCTCCCAGCATGTAACCTATACGTACAGCCCATCAGACTGTGCTTTAATCATGCTGTAGGTGCCTAAAGCAACAGGCATAAGGTCAACTAAGAAAGAAAGATGAATACATGTAAAAACCAATAGCTTTTCATATTACATTTATCACACTGACCAAATATTATCTTGTCAGGTGCCACTTCATGACCCTGCATGTACTTTATTAGTTGGTATAATTGACTGTGTAGCATTTGGTAATACTACTAGATGCTTTCCTCTGAATTATCGTTCGGTCTGACACCCCTGGTTGCTGTCTGGATACTGTCTGGTTTCCAAACACAGCTGTCAGTGGCGTGCATCCAGTTGGCTCACAGCCACACAGGCCTACGTGAGCAGGTTGAGAAGATGCTGCGTTTTAATGGCAAAGCCCACATGGATGGGAGCGGGGGCTTATGTGTCCCTGAATGAAAGACGGGGTGGGGGGATAAGTTGATGGCAGGGACAGTGCTCTTTGTCTTGCGGTCACACGCTCCAGTCAACCGTCAATAAAGTGAATTGTGCTGAGAAAATGCAATGTTTCTGTGCTTTTGACTGGTTTCACAGCCTGTACTGAACATGTTTTTCTACGAAGTCAACAGCAATGCAGTCGAGGCTAAAAGCCCCCTAAATTAGATTTACCATCAAGTATTTAGGCTCTACTTTAACATTACTAAGTGATCAGTGGTCGTTCAAGGCGGGAAAATCACAAAATGGCTTTTTTTTATTGCGATAAAAAAAGATTGTTACTAAATTTGTGTTTGTGGTTGTTTTGTTTTCTGGCTGTCAGCACAAAACCAACTGCAACTTTGTATAAATAATAAAAGAGTTGTTCAGTAACAAAGTATAACTGTGAAAAACACTTGGACTAACCAGTTATTTAAAAGAACACCCACATTTTTGTCACATTATTTACAGCATTTAGCTTTAGCAGAATATCACTGTTGCTTCACCGCAAATGATTTTTGTACATGTAGGCAACCAAACTTCTTCTTAGTTTGGATGGTGTAGCCTCATGTTTGGAGTATTTGGTGTGAGGATGAAACCAGCAGTTCCTACACCTGTCCACTTTGAAGCTTTAGCGCAGAGTTAAGGCAAAGCTACAGGTAAAGTTAGCTTGATGGCCAGTGTGCCTCAATAGAAACAGAAGAGTAAATAAAATCGGGCGCCACTTTATATTATTATAATAACACTGAATGCAGGACACTCAGGTGTCTTGGTTTTCCCTCCACTACTTGGCTAAAACTGTGACTACTGCAACATCATGCATCAGATAACCAACGACAACGCTGCAGGGACATTACATTTAGATTAGCTCCACATCAATGCATTTATTTTGCTTTGCTTTTAAAGGACAGATGTGCAGTTGCATCGCAGTAACAGCAGCACGCGCTCTGCCGACTCCGCACGTGGTTCAGCTAATCAACACTTTCCGTGGCGGGACCCCGGCGGCCCCGCGGTCTGCCACTGTTGTTACTGTTACTGTATGTCCACGTGGGGACCGACGGGGGGGGGAGTAAACCAGCCCTGCGGGGAGCCCGGCCCTGTCAGCCCACTCCAATCAAAGCGATCAGATAAAAACAAGCATCCTTAGATTTACATTAAGATAATGCTCATTATCTGCAGCAGGATACACAAAACACATGAGGGCCCCCGAGTGGGGACACTGGGCTAATTACTGTAGGTGACAAAAACAGCACTTTCCCCGGCGCCAACACACATTTTCATTTACATCCACGTGACAGTCCCACTCTGTTGCAAAGCTAAACAGAAGTCTCACTATATTTGAGTAAAAGCATTAATCACGACACCTATAAATACCTTAACGCATCTTCAAGCTGTCTGATATTTCAACTTTATCTAAATAACGCAGCTCTGAAACTTCTTATTACGCGCAGTTCTGCAAGCAAACACATATTAGTGGGTTTACTAATTAGTTATTAGCCACCACTGCATCCATGCATGCACAGGGGAAGAGTTCACAATGAGGAGAGAGAGAGAGAACCTACCACCCCGCGATGAATGGCTCTTTAAATGCCTGCAGATTCATCTGAACGGCAGCCTTCAAAAGCAAAGGGAAAAATAAAGTTCAGAAGCTCTTGGACAGCAAAATAAAAGTATGTGCGAGCTAAAAATGCGCACACAAAATATTGTTGTTTTTTTTAACTTCAAAAAATTATACACACATGGGGAAAGGGAGGGAAAAGTTCAAGCCTGGTGACATAAGTGACTTCAAGCTGCTGTCTGGTCGACGGTAAGAACGAGAGAGAGAGAGAGGTTTAGGTTGTGTCTATAGGGGGGGGGGTTAAAGTCATCAGTAAATTATGGAGTGGAGTCCTGCCAGCTGGAGCAAGGCAGGGAGGGTGACATCATACAATGGGGACGTGGGGGTTAAAAGTGGCCCCGGTGATGTGGAGTTTCAGAGGCATTTTCTAAGGTCACAAACTCTCCTGTTGATGCTGTGATGCCATTTAAAGTGGTAGCTTTAATGTCAAAGTATAGGTTGTGATCAGAGTCATGTGATGTCATGAGTTAAAACCAGATGTTGTGACATCATAAGGGCGTAGAGGGTCAGTGCCCCCCTCCTCCTCCTCCTCCTCCCCTCCTGGACACATTTGGCCTGTTGCTCTGTTCAGATGAAGCGCAGCAGTGGCCCCAGCTGACAGAGTTCAGCTATCTCCTTATGATCCACACACACCACCCTCAGCTGCAGAGAGGTGGTGAAAGGGAGGGAGGTTTCGATAAAGACATGCTTCAAATCCCTCAAGACAAAAATAAATTCCACTGGCCGAACAATATCTTGTTAAATGACTGCAAATACGCAGCGCTGGAAGTTATGGTGGAAAATGTAAATCAGACGCAGGGACTCCACTCCATGCATCGTAACGCGGAGGACTGCACCGATTTACTGCATATGAAGTTTTAAAACGGAACAGAAACCTTTGTGGTTTCATTCTGCCCATTATTCTGGCTGTACCCTGCAGATGGTTGCGTGTAATCAAACTTCTCAGATGGGAGTCCCCCGAGTTCACAAAGTAATCTGACTGAGGTATTTGAGGTTCTGTCACATGAAAACATTTGTGCGTTTCACTGGGAAATCAGTGAATGAAAGTGACCAAAAATGTTAGTTAATACATTATTATTATTTTATCAAAAGGAGATCACGTACGTGTGCGGTTTGGTTAAAGAGAGTTCAGAGATACAGTAGTTTGGGGGGAAACTAGTCTGACGTTATGTCTAACAGCTACTGTTGAGTGTCTGTCTGCCCATAATCCCATATCTGAGGGGAGGACTTTGAAAACTCCTAGGGTAAAGCATCTCACCATGTCTCTGTGTACATTTACATAAGTACTAATACGTTACATATTACATTAGCATATGCCTAAAAACTGCAACAATACACATCTGTTGAAATATTGGGAACTGAAATGAACAGGACAGTATGACACATTGAATAATCATTGTTAACGCTCAGTTATAACACATCACATCTTTATTTTTACACCGTTATAACACTCCATTGGAGGCTGTTTAACAAACACACACAAAATGCAAACCGTCACCGTTCCCTCAGGAGGTAGTTGGCCATTACACCGGAACACATAACTGAATATATTCTTTTTAATTTGAGTTTTTAAATAGATAATTATACTGTTTCTGCAGTGAGAATTTGGATCACAGCGTTCAGCACCAAACTGACAGGAGCAAAAATCTTTTTCTATATGTTGAGAACAAAAAAAAGGGAGGAGGAAATTACTGTTTGGTCATAATCGGGTTAAATAACAAGCAGCTGTAGAGTTAACACGTTTAAGAATTTAATGCCAGTATGCAGAAATGGGAATCATTTTACACACGACATGACATTAGCACACAGATCCTTTGTTTTGTTTCATAAATAATAATTCAAGTTGACAACAACAGGTGAGCCATGTACCTGAAATTCTCCCAGAAACCTTTGTGGTAATAAAACAGCTTCGGTCACTCAGCATCCATCTCAAATGCATCACAAAGGAAACGTTAGTACCAGCAGATGTGAAAGTGCATGACTGAGGAT